TAATTTATCTAGATGTGTAAAACTATGTATTACTACCAAGAACTAACCGTGACAGCTCCGGTAACCTCCGTTTTGTTTTCAACTGTCCGGTTGTCGTTGGGTGGGTTTGTATTTTCTTGGGCAGTTCCACTGCCTTTCGATGGTGGCACCAACTGACCAACCTTAAAAGATTTCCGGTCAGCTCCACAGGAACTGCTCTTTCTTTACTTGGCTCTTGGGAACTCGCCAGAAAGATAATTTCGTTAATGTCTAAAGCAATGGATTATTATCAAGAACTGACCGCGACAACTCCAATAATAACAAAAGCAAGAAATAGACGTTCCATGATTGGATGGGGTAGAATCTGTTGCACAGTTTTTATACTATTTTAGTGTCATCAGCATGACAATTGCGATGGCTTCTCGAACAATTCGCTTTTCATTCTATTTTAGGCTTTTATAAAGAAATTTGAATTATAACGTTCAGTTTGCCCTGCCTCGCGAGCGTTGAAATTCATCGATGATGAAATTCTATTCAAGCTGCTGGCATTTATATCTTTTGTCCATATTCAGAGAGAAAAATGTGTTCTTTTTCAACAGCATTTTCTAGAATTCCATTTAATTCATGAAGAGCGATTTCTTGGCTGACACGAAAACCCTTTTGTTCTGGTACATCGTCTGCATCACCTTCATTGAGCATGCACGAACGTTTCGTAAGCTGTGCAGTGACAATGCCACAAGCAAAGAAATAGGCAAACAGACATTTGTGGTTAATGTGAACCAAGGATATCGTTTGGGTTTGAGTCTAAAGCTTCACAGTGGACGTTGAATGATTCACGTGTAGTTAAGACTCCTTCTACAAATTCTAACCACTTCTTTTCCACATTCTAGAACATTTTTGAACAGCGTCATGGATTTTTCATCTAAGCATGCCCACTGCAAACCATTCCACTTTGGTGATTTGACCACATTTCTTCTACAACCTCTAGCTTATTTTCCCGCGTTGTAAATCGTTCCTTAAGGAGTTTGGAATTTTTGATCTTAGCCCCGCCCTATCTAGTGAAAGCTCCGCCCACTCATAAATTTGGTTATCATCCCTCTATAACCACCGACATCTTTTTTCCATGTTCGTGCTCGATGAAGACTTGATGTAGGCGATGTTTCAGATCACAAAGATTTTCGTGCTCGTCAAGAAATCGTTCAACGCGGGTTGAATGAAATTCTGGAAAATTCACTTCCAAAGGAACACATTTTTTGCGGTCTAATGTGGGGCACATATCGAGAACGGGCCACAAAGCATATATGCGATATTTTCCCTGAAAAAAGTAACGAAGATGATGTTCTTGGGGCGACCGCAAGGGGGTCTTGCTAGCGCATAGGGTAAAGAGCCCGGTGCATAACCCGCCATTCTTACAAAAAAGTGAAGAACTTGCTTTGTTCTTCAACAAAACAGGAAGTGATAATCAATTGTTTTCATTTACAGGTACTATCACTGGCTGTTGAGTATGCAATATCTTGAAAGATCAAAAGATAATCCGTCGCTTATTCCAAAGTATCATGCAAGTGCAAAATTGGCTGAGATGTACTACGCTTATGATGCTATTTTTCTTTACTGCGTAAGTTCACTTGCACACTTTTTATCAGTTGGCTAAGGCCAAAGGGTAGTGAAGACGAAAAAGGGAAAGAACTCAATCAGTTCATCCATCTACATGTCCGTTTAAGGTTTCAGCTCTTGATCCTTCTGTTCTTTTCAGAATCAGCCATTCACAAGACATAGTCCGGAGACATTGTTGAACATGGCCAGATATCTTGCTGCTCAGCAACCTGTACCAAATATTTCCCAAGTGTAAGTTCTTCACTGCTGAGGATTAAGCCACCTTTTCACCATTTCAACTAGCTTTTGCTTCTTTCTGAAGCACGTCCTTAGTAGTTCATAGCACGTCATTTTTCAGGCTTATCTGCTACACAATAGCCCGTATCGGACGTGAACTTGGAGCCTATAAGTTGGCACGGGAAACTCTCGATCGTCTGGGAAATTT